AACAACAACAATAATAATAATAATGATAATAATAATAATAACAATAATAATAATGACCGATAATCAGAATGCTGATGAAATGAAACGCGTCAAATATGATAAACACAAAGTATCTCTTGAATTTTACCTAATATTTCTTATTATTATTGTAATTACTTTCAAACAAGAAAGTGAATTAATATGGCTTAAGAGAATGAGAAAAATCTATTAACAATAATATTTTCTGTGTATAACATAATGCATGCAACATTTGAGAATTTCGTCAAGGATGGAAAAAATGAATATAATTAAATTATGAAAATCCGATCAACAATAAGGTTCAAAAAAGAAGCTGGCAATTTAGACCATTTAATCAGCTAATCATTTCAAATAATTAACTCGTTTGTAAATTGATATTATTGAATGTATAACAGAAAACGATGGAAAATGAAATAAAGGAAATGAAAATGAATAAGGGAGAGAATGAGAGACTATAAATTTGATCCAAATGTTAAATTGAAAGGAATAATTGTTTACCGAAAATAATCTTCTAGTAAGCGTTTTTCAGGTGCTGCAATAGATGTTCGCTTCCTTTTCTTATCCATATTTGGCAGAATACCTTGTGCATCACCTGCTATGTCTTTCGTTTTTGTTACTTCTTCGGCCTAATAAGAATGTGTAAGTTGCATAGATAAATATACAATTTATTTAGGTATATCTAACAAATGTAACAAACAAATTTTTTTATTCTATTACATATACCTTTCTGTTATTGTCATTTCTAGAGTTTAATAAAAACGTATAAGTTACTTGTGTGAAATACGAGATTTGCTAAGGCATATGTACAAATTATCTATACTTAACAAAAAGTAAACAACAAATTCTTCTGTCACACTATGAAAAATTATTGTTTCGATAATATAACAAATGTAATTTGCTTTTTTTTCCTATCTGTTTTCCCAAACTTTCAAAATACAAATGAAACCAGAAATAATCATTGCAAAGTTTATTATCAGTTTACTATTGAAAACGAATTGTAAAATTGGGAATAATCAATTTGTTATTAATTATTGAATTTATATAAACTTGTTATAAAATATTTCATGCAAAATAATATTAAACCGCAACTTTTCGGCATGTGGAATGAAGTAAATCGAAAATTAAACTTTGCGGAAAATTTGAAATTAATTTCAACAAAACCTTTTCAAGCCACGAATGTAAAATAGGTTTCAGCGCCACCATATTGTTATGTGATAATGTAAGACTTTCAAATCGACAAATCGTTGATTGACTCAATGAACCAACACCAGGCATTTTTAGGTGTGCTAAAGCTTTTCCAACATCAGCTTGAGTTACACCTAATTTGATACGCCTTTGCTTAAAATGTTCCGCAAAACGTTCGAGTTCACGTGGATCTGTATCTAATTCTGCAATATGCAAATTTATTTATGCTTTCTTCTACATTTCTTTTTTCTTCTATTAAAATTGCTATAATTACACAGTTAAAGCATGATTTTATTTTGAGAAAAAAACGAAAAAAATAAAACAAGAGATCCTTTTTTCAAATTAGAATTATCAGTTTTTTAATCATTGCCTGTAGCTTGAGCTGATAAGGGATATATTGGCATTGCAGCAGCAGCAACAGCAGCACTTTGTGATGCTACAACTGCAGTAGCGGTTGCAAACGGTGATGGTATCGGATATTGAGAAAATTGTGCAGTTGGATAGTGTTGCATTGCCATTACATGCTGAAAGTATATACAACATATTCAGAAACGATATGAATTGAAAATTAAGGAAAAAACAAACATTATTTGTTTAACAATTAATTTAGATAATACCATAAAATGACTGGAATTATACAAAAATGTGGAGAAAAAAAAAAAAGCTCCGGAAGTTGCATTACCTGTAATGAGGCCATTGAATCAGCTGCATGATTCATGGATGAGTCAATAATTGAACTCTGTGAAATTGTAGATGAATCAAATTCACCAGATGATGGTAAATGTGACGCTGCAGTAGGATGATAGCTGGAAAATAGTTGAAATTATTTCATAAATAATCATCAGTTTTATGCATTTATTAAAATTAAATAAATTGCTGGAACTAACTTTATTTCACGAATTTCTCGAAGCTAAGAATAAAAAACGAAAAAAATGCCATACGTACGTAAACATATCCGATGGTCGAAGCATCCCACTAGCAGCCATGTTGACATTTTTAACGTCAATTTCGGCAAGAGCAGCTTGTGCTGCTCTTGCTTGAAATAGCGTATCATCGAAAGTGCCAAAAATTGAATTGGTTTGAAAATTCTGGAAATTTCGAAAAAAGAAGTCACAAAAACTTACATTTGATATGAAAATAATATTTTATTAATTAAATTGGAATACAGTGTGGAGTAAACGATATAATAGTTTGTTGGATATTACATTTATGAATGCTTCAAAAAGTATCAATTTTAAAAGTTCCTTATGGAGTAAAATAATATTAACGTATATGTGAAAATGTATGTACGCTAAGGTATATGGTCAAACTTCTATAAAAGTTATTTATAATAATATTGTTTCATTTTAGCAAAGAAATTTTTTAAGATAAGAGGAAAAATAAAGACGACCAAGAAGTTAAATTAGTTAAAAATGAAATTTAAACTGTGAAGAGAAAAAGGAATTTATTCAAAATTGATTTTGAAAAAATTGGTTGCAAACTTTGGAGTTATATGTCATTCGGCCTATTCTTGGCCAAATACCGTCTAACTCGTACTAATCGTTATACGAAAAAATTACGCCTCCAATGTAGGGAGGTTTTTTTTTAATTTATAGAGTGAAGTTTGAGTGCAGCTGAATAAAATATATGATTTTTTCAATACTATTCAAATTATTTAATAAATATCAAAATATTTGAAAACAGTATAAGGTATGCTAGAAAATTTATTAAAAAAATCTTCCAAATGACTTTTCATAATTAACCATTTAAGCCGTAATGGTATGAAGCATAAAAAATTAGGCAAGATGATCAAATTTTATAAATTTCGCAAAATTTTTAATTAAAATTTCTGAAAATGTGCAATAAAAAAGTGGACCTGGCCAAAAATAAACTAGAACAGAAAAAATGAGCCAGAAGGAAGTGAAACCTATAAACTATTGCTTAACAATATTTATTGAAATCTAATCAAATTTCAAGTTACTATTTATTTATATATTTGTATGTAATTGTATCGTTTCGTTTTTAGTTTTTTTGTCTTTTCAATAAACAGAAATGACTTAAATTCCCAGAATTGAATAATACATATATGCACGTGTATGTATATATACAATGGACACAAATATACGATATATGCGTAAAGATACCGATTACAAATAAATGAATATTTCAATGACCATGAATGAATAGTTCATAATGATCATTTGACAAGCTTTTAACAATAATATATTAGTCTACTCAGTTGTAATATTAGCTTAGAGGTGGAAGAGCAATTCATAAATTAATAAAATATGCTTGTGGCACGTGTTGTATCTTTTTGTCATCATTTCAATATCATTAAAAAAATTAAATTAAATTATTATTTATCTTACTACCACTATTGAAGTTGCGATCAGTCATACTAATACATTTACTATTAACAAGAAATTGATTAGTCGATTTGTTTATTTAATAAGAATTTAATATCTTTCTCCATATTTCAATCACATATAAGCTAAAGTAAGCGAATATATTTATTGAGCAAATAAACAATAAATGGATAACTTCATTTTAAAAAAACTTATGAATAGAAAAGAGGATAATTCTGTATTGATAATTGAATAATGATAAGTTTATGAATACCTACACTAGGCATTCGGGTACGGTACGCAGCTGCTGCAGTTGTTGCTCCGGTTCCGGTAGGTGAATAACGTGTCATTGTAGTAGCAGATGTAATCGCATTCAAACCGGGATACAACCGTTGCGATGATTGCATTTCTTTTTTCTTTTTCTTTTTTTTTATTTTTTTGTTCACGTTACGTAGTACCGTGTATGACTGTATAATGCTTTATCTTCGGCCGACAGAAAAAAAAATCAAAAAAGGCCGGAAATAACCGCAAATTTAACCAATTGATTTCCGAAAGATACGAATGAGTTTTTCGTTGGACAAAACAGTTCCGGCAACCGGAGTAGTCGATCGGTTATTCGGAGTTTAACGGTGGGGAGGAGGAGGAGGAGGAGTAGGAAAAGGTGGGGAGATAAATATGGCATTTGCTTGAAAATGGGTGACACGCTTCACATTGGTCGATACGATGAGCATCGTCGGAAAAGCTTCTCAATAGATTGAACATGCGCTACTTACTTTATTCTAAACCCCACCGCCATTATCGTCATAACACTCTTTGGAGTGCTACCGTATCCTTGGCACATTGATCCAAAAATTATTGGTAACGCCCCAAAGACGTTTTCTGATTTGTTAAAAGATGATAGTTTGAAGAGGATGAAAGAGAATGGAGAGAGAGAAAAAAAATGTGAAGGCATAACATTTCTCCATCATTGTATTTTCTCATCAAATCTTTTTGCATTAACAGCCATTTCATGCGGATAGTGCACTTTTTTCAACTAATTTATGAAAAACATTTCAATAAGAAAAAAGAAGAAATACGAGGAGACAATGAAAGGATAAGTTTTCCTTTTTCTCTTTTTCTTTTGACCTGAACTTTCGTCGTTTTTAATCATTTACCGATAATATCATTTGTCATTGATGCATACAAAATGTCCGTTATTTTTGTCTTTTTACGGGTAATATGAATTCCTTTTGATTTCCATATAGTACATAAAATTTTCCTCTGCCACGAATAACACGTGATATTATCAGTTGCCGTGAAATACCATCCTTACTGATAATACCGTGTATTATTCCAATGTTATTTGAGCATATTATATTTTCAGTAATATCGATATCTCCTCGTTACACCCAATAAATGTCACCAAAATTTCTTATAATTTTTTGAACATTCAATTTTTATCATTTCTTATTATCAGTTCATATTTAAAAGTATGAGAAAGAAAGAGAGAGGAAAGAGACAGAGAGAAAGATCAAATTATATTTTTGTGCCATTTGAATATTTTGAATTTGAAAATGCATTGTTGTATGAATAATACATTGTAATAATACCTGTGCACATTCTGTAGATTTCTTTGGGATAAATATGCGGTAAACATATATTCCGTAAAAAGCAATCCATACGTACTTATTACTGGCAAATATCAGACTATTATTAATTGTTGTTAGTCGTACCATGGCATTTTAAATCTTTAATTCAGTAATACTACAACAACAATAACAATAATTAATAATAATATAACATTATTATTTATTATTATTATCATTATTATTACTATTATTATTATTATTATCATTATTATTACTATTATTATTATTATTATTATTATTATTATTATTATTATTATTATTATTATTATTATTATTATTATTATT